AAATAATAATGTATAACGCTTTGTGACCACACCCTCTCGGACGCTTCCCATATGTAGAGGTCGACAGATTTCTCCCCTTGAGCAAGTCTTCTCAAGATGAAGTTCCTTACTCTCTTATTCTATTTATGGATTTCGAGTACACTGAGTTTTCACAAAAGAGAGTCAAAGGAACTCAACGAGGGTCAATTATAGGAAAGAAGAACCTTACAAGGAGTCAACGAGGACGCAAAGAAAAACAAGAAAACTGCTGGAAACGTGGGAAATGCCACTAATTCGTGATTAGGTTTAGTTTTGAATAAGGTTTGCTGAGACGATGGTTTGTGTCTCTTTTTTCACAATCGCAAAGCAAATTCGGACCAAGCAGTCCTAGATCCCAGATTACTTTTGAACCTCAATCGAAATATTCCTCAGAAATCTACCTTTACCCATATGAGGTTTAGGGAAGTGGCTAGTATTGATGGCGTCCTAAATTCCATATATTTAAATTTATTGGTTTCTTTTTTTTTTTTTTTTTTTTTTTCACCGCGCTTAAGAGTCCAATCAAACGACTAAATTTTTTTCCGCGCTTTCTTTTCTATCGATTGGTTGCTGTACTTAGGAGAATTTTATGACGTTCTGAGAAAACTGATATTCATGAGTTCACGCTTAAGCTTGCCTTACACTAACCGCCGCTAGCATATAAACGTAGAGTAATCAGCGTGGTCTGTAAGCTGCTATAGTAGGAAATACTTTAGCGCTGTTTGAATGAACTGTTGTTGTAGGTCGGGCGTGATCGTAAGATGGAGCTAAACCGGTAACAGTCTAACCCTAAGCATGTGGAACGTGGAATGTGATTTTGTTTTCTTCCTTTGGTGGTCGTGTATGGAAATGGACAGCACGCAAACAAAGCCTCTTTAAGAGGGTCTCAACGGGTTTAACGGATAGCCGTAGAGCGGAAAAAAAATATAACAGATAGGCGTTAAAATTAACCAATTTTTAACCGTTAGTGGTAAAAAAAATTGATCGTTGTATTTTTTCCTTTTATTCGCAAAGTAAGGAAGTTAACCGTTGGCTATAAAATGACTAAATCTCTGACCGTTAGCCGTAAAGCCCACACCCCATTGAGACCCGTAGTTATGCTGGTAATATTGCTATTTAAAATAAGATACCAGGCCAACCTTACTTTAACAAACCTGCCGGTAACATGGAAGACATATTCTATTAGTTTGTATACAAAACAACTCAACTAACCGGGAACGAATCGACCTAGCTGTGTACTAAACGAAAATAGCTACTTTTTTCGCCCTAGATTTCCATCCTTTTTTTTCGTTTGGATTAGAGTACAAATATCGCGCATATTTTGCGAGTCGTGAAGTATTTTTTTGCGTCCGGCGGGAGCACTAGGCAAAAATCGAGTAAAGGATTTATTATTCAAATGCTATTACGTTTTCTAATGTATTGGCTTCTAGTTTTGAAAATACATCGCACGGCATTATCATAGCATCGAATCGATCGAAACAACACATTAAAAGAAAACAAAGAATGCGCTTAAAAGCTCGTTGCACAAAAATTAGAGCCTAAAATCACAAAAAAAAACAAAAAAAACAGAAACCACCAGGCGAAAAAAAACTCGAGCTCAAAATCCAATTGCCAATTTTGCTGCGAGAGGTGCTCTTTTCTCGAATGCAAAGCAAGATGCCACGGTTGGTATCCCGCACCACCGGATTCACTTGTAGCTGCAACTCCTGCAAGCTCGCGTTAGAAAGGTGTAGTATTGTTTCAGACACCACGACAACCTCGTTCTTCTCTGACATCGCATCAACGACATCCGGTTCCTTTACGAAGTAATGGTTGGGGTCTATGCTGTTACATTCGAAAAAGTCCGTTACCGCTATACATTCTGATTCAAACAGATTAAGCATACCTAGAATGTACAACTGGTTTGGAGTCTTCTGTTTTACCGAAGATAGCTTACAACTGTTCCAGGACACATTAAACTTTTCTATATTTTCATTAGTCCGTGGAATAAATACATAGTGTAGAGCTGCCAGATCCCGTTCGTCTCCCTGGTTCAGAAGATTATTCCTCTCTAACAAAAGGAATGGGAGTCGGAGATACTCCGTGACCATTTTGCGCATGTCTCTCCACAGCCTCTCTATCCTCTGGTTAAGGACAGAACTATTTTGCAAAATGCTGTCATGACCTTCTCCTCATTTTTCTACCATAGAACGAGCACCTTCTGAATTCTCTCCATCCTTATCTGTACTCACCCGTGATGACCAGCAGAACTCAGTTGTTGCGCCTAAGAATAAATTGGTCACTGTTGCTGCCCTGCTGTTGCTGCAACAGCGGAGGAGTACAACGAGCCCCGAATATCCCACTACTCCTCAGTACAGGACCAACCTCCATCTAAGAAAAGATTTTAAAAACACATTTCTCACGGTATTCACATTATGAGTAGGGAATAGTAGATGATGGTGCATTCTTCTTCCATTGCATTCCACGGATACAATAAAAGGAAGTAGCAGGTATTAATTCCCGAATACAGACGAATTACAGCGTGCTAAAAAAATGCTTTTAATGAAGAGCGTAAATCTCTATTCGATCTGATAATTTGGAATTTTTTCTTGAGCATTATTGTAGAACAATAGAGGTGATCTAAAAACAATGTATTTATGGTATATTTCAGGTCTGTTAGTTACCGTATCAGCTTATTGTTGCAATCAAAGTGCCACAGGCTGATTGGGCCTACAATATATATTCCAAACGTTAATAAGTCAACGATCCTAGGTTTGATCATTTGTTCTTTCAATATGAAATAAATTGACTCTATTCGAGAACGACGATTTTAAAGTTGTACTCAAGATATCGTAATGTCGGATGAACAAGAGCTCCTGTTCTGTTAAGGTCGACGTGTAAAAAAAGAACATCAAACCCTGCACAATTCTCCTGGCGACATATACTTCATGCAGTACCATATGGAGTTTCGTTGTCTTGGTTTCTAGGCCAAAATAAACCAACGCGAGCCGTGCAAAAATGACTATAAACAAATATAACGAAATTCATTCAACTGTAACATCAATACGTTTTCAGAAACAGTTTAAAGGCAATTGCGTAAACATAATTTAAAACAAGAGTAAACAGTTCATATTTGGCGAAGGGCCTACCGATGGTAACGCCTACTTTCCATAACTTAAATCGAGACCAGCAAGTGACTCCAGTGACACCGATGGAATAACATGTTACAAGCTGTAAAACAATTGCCACAATTATTATTAGTTGTAAAACATTGGTTTGGCATGGCTTCAGTACAAGAAGCAAAAAAAAGCCAAAACACTTAATAATGGTACTAAATCAGTGATTCTAAAAATTCCAAGAAGAAATAGCCTGTGAAAGACGACTAATATGTCAAAAGGGCGAAGACCAAAAGTAAGGGCTCACCTTCTTAATTAAAAGCGTTTCCGAAAAAGGAAGATTGTACTTTAAAACCAAATCAGTTTTAGCATATATATCAATTCGAAGTAGGTCGTTTCCATTTGCGCTAAAAACCATACCAGAAACTAATCTCTGAATTAATTCAATCGATAAATTATTTCCCGCGCATAGTCTTAAAAGCCAATCCCGAATTCAAAGCACTTCCTTTGAAATAATAGTTAAACATTTGCACTCTAAAATAAGTGTGAGTAATCATTTAGTTACTCGTTTGATATCTACAGTCAACTTATACAACACCTGCCTTGTAAAACGGTGAACGAGAATATTCTTACTAAACCTTAATAACTACAAAAACAAACTACTGATCCGATTAAATTATAGTAAGTCCAAATTAGTTCAACGGATCCCGTAGTTTTGTTCCTTAACACTATGCAAAGTTTGGCTGCCCATCCTCGCTTTCGAATTTGCAGAGCTGCAAGGAAAGGGAAGGAGAAGCTTTCGAAGTTATTTATTAGTTCTGAAAAATGTAAACTAATATTTGCCTGCCCCGATTTAGGACTGGTCTCTTTCTGTAACGAACAGGACACTAAAGCTAACCACCCTCAAGGCCTACAGTGGTTTCGCAGATTTCGTTACTGAAAATTTGACCTCTCAGAACTGCTTTGTACAGAGACTTGAGTTGAATTAAAAAGAGTCAAGCTCTTTAACCAACTTGGTAAATGAGGGTGCATCAAGTCTATTACCTCAACTAAAGAGCTCTAAGAAAATTACTTACGGGGGGGAAGGGGGGGGGCCTGCCCCTCTACTCCGCCGCCTGTGTAGTGTCCATATTTTTAAAACCTAGACTCTTACTTGTTCTTAAATTTAAAACCATTATGTTTATAAGGTCTCGTCATGTCTATGTATGCTATAAAGTCGACTAACAAATTTGATAAGTTACAACATTTAAAATCATACCAGTGACTACGGTTTTTTGTTACGATTTGGTCTAATGTGAGCGGATGAAAAATTCCGTTTACTACCATTCATCTTTCGCTATGCAAAGAGAGCCAGATTATTTCCAAACTCCTGATTTCATTCATGCTGTTCAGTGCCATCGCACTGAAAGAGTTTATCATAACAAGATCCATTCCCAGATAAATCTTAGCTGACGGCCAACTATGACTCTAGTTTACATTCATCTTCTTCAAGCAACGATCATCTATGGATAGAAAAAGAAAGATACCATTGCAAATTCCATGTATTTTTACAAATACATGATATCACGATGCAGTTTGTTAAAAGCTCTAACTGTCCACTTTACATTTTTCTTGTTTAATTCATTTTTATATTGGCTCAAGTACTTTTTGTAGAACATACACAATGTCTAAAACTTCTAACAGACTACGCTGTGTTATCTTCTTGAAGGGAACACGATCTAAAGAATAGAGACTAGAACCCTGTTATCACCTTATTAGAATTGATCAGGTCAGCTTCCCGCGTTCAGCCTTAAACGCCAATTCCTCTGAAATCTCAAACAGCTTACAGCCGATCAAGTTCCGGAGCAAAGCCACGGCGGGCGGCCACGAAATCTCGAATAAAACGGTCTAAACATATTACCTCTGTTGCTCGAAATGGATTGAAATTGGGCAGGTTACCTGAGACAGTCATATTGCAAAAGGAAATACAAATGAATGACGTGTTTAAAATTTGACGCCAAGAAGCACTTTAAGAATTTAAAGAACGTTAAAGGAAAATATCAAAAACAAGTTATATTTACATTGAGCGGCAACTAGTCTGAGTCAGTTTCATTCAACTCCAGAGTGACATCATCCCCAATGAGAACAAATGGTGCCCAGTACTTTACTTCCCTGAACTCTCCAGACTCCCTCATACATTTCATGGCTTGATTAAGAGCTTCACTGACCCTCCTTCCTTTAACTAGTTCTTTATAGAAATGTTTCATGAACTGGAAAGTGGCCTCGTCATCAATCCCCCACAGGGACACCAAAACGGAACGAGCCCCAGCACCTAAAAATGCTCGAGCAATGCCAACTACCCCCTCAGCCTTTATTTCTCCATGAGCACTATGACAACAACTCAACACAACCAATCTTGCCCGCAGCTTAGCTTCCAACACATCCGCCATCGTCAACAAAAAGTCTTTTTCCTCAGGATGATTGGATTCCCGAGCAGGATTTGGGGCCAAAAGAATCTCTCCTGTTTCCATTGCGCCATGTGCGGCGATGTGCACTAAAGCAACCGAGGATAGTTGCTTTAAGACTTCTCCTTTTGTCGCCTTTTCTCCAATGAGGGGAACAGTTCCTAGGATTCTCCCAATCATCTCTACTTCTTTCTTTGCATATGGCAGCTGCCAAAAGTTTGTCTCTTTATAGACAACCCCCTTTATGTATGGATCTCCCACGAGAAGTACGCCTGTCTTCTTGTGGAAGTCAGCTGAACACTCAGTAATTAATTTCAAAATATTCAAGGATGGAAGCACTCTGATCCTTAGAGACTCACAAAGATACTCCTGCTTTGCGTTCATCAATGCTGCATAGGGTACCAAACACAATGGACCTTCCGGAACAAGAATGAGGTTTTTTCCATGAACCAGGTCAGCAACAGGAGCAATGATAAGGTCAAAAAAGCACTGTAAGCTTTCCTTTGGTGAGTCAGGCCGAGATACACTAACAGGGGCCCTTTCAGTCGTGCGCTGCGCCTCACAAGACTCATCAAGTGAGCGATTTTCGATGTTGACGTCAGCACGTACACCAATCTTGTCCAAGGCGGTATGGTTCAGAGTTAACAGATAGCTTTTTGCGTTTTCTCCTGAAACATAGTCTCCTACCTCTCTTCTCCTCAAGGTGACTTCTTTATCTTGCCTTATAACCCAGAAAATGATTTCTTGTTCATTGAGAGCTAAGAAAAGTGTTGTTGAAGGAATGGATCCAAGAGAGGAACCAGCTGACTTTATTGAGGTGTGTACCTCTTGACACCCATAATTTTTTTCCATGAGATCTTTTAGAGCCTGCGCCCGTCCATCCTCAGCAACACGCAAGGCATCATTTACCTCACCTCGGCTTAAATGGAGACGCCACAAACTATTGTATACAGTATTATACGTATCGCGGTAGCTAATTTTCCACTCGTCTTTAAACTGTAGATGAGCCCTTATTTCATTGAACTTTGACAAACTGGAATTAAAGCAATCAAGGGCACTTGAAAACGATCCTTGATGTTTCAGGACATTACCAAGATTATTCAGAGATGTTGCAATCGCATATTTGTCTCCCACTTCTTTCGCTATTTGTAGATTACGCTCAAGGTATACAATGGATTTATTTAGATCTTTAAGCAAAAAATTTGTATTGCCAAGATTTCCATAAGCCCGTCCTTCTCCAGCTTTATCCCCCACTTCTTTTGCAATTTCTAGGTCACGTTCATAGTTCTCGATTGCCTTATGAAAATCGCCTAAACTCTGATAGGCATTGCCAAGATTTCCACAAGCCCGTCCTTCTCCAGCTTTGTCTCCCACTTCTTTTGCAATTTGTAGATGACGCTCATGGTACTCGATTGCCTTTTTTAAATTGCCTAAGCTATAATAGGCATTGCCAAGATTTCCATAGGCCCGTCCTTCTCCAGCTTTGTCTCCCACTTCTTTTGCAATTTGTAGATGACGCTCATGGTACTCGATTGCTTTATGAAAATCGCCTAAGCCATGATAGGCATTGCCAAGATTTCCATAAGCCCCTCCTTCTGCAGGTTTATTTCCCACTTCTTTTGCAATTTGTAGGTGACGCTCATGGTACTCGATGGCCTTATGAAAATCGCCTAAGCTATCATAGGCATTGCCAAGATTTCCATATGTCACTCCTTCTCCAGCTTTATCCCCCACTTCTTTTGCAATTTTTAGGCCACGTTCATAATTCTCGATTGCCTTATGAAAATCACCTAAGCTCTGATAGGCATTGCCAAGATTTCCATGAGCCCGCCCTTCACCAGCTTTATCCCCCACTTCTTTTGCAATTTGTAGACGAAGCTCATGGTACTCGATTGCTTTATGAAAATCGCCTAAGCTCTGATAGGCATTGCCAAGATTTCCATAAGCCCCTCCTTCTCCAGCTTTATCTCCCACTTCTTTTGCAATTTGTAGGTGACGCTCATGGTACTCGATTGCCTTATGAAAATCGCCTAAGCTATCATAGGCATTGCCAAGATTTCCATAAGCCCCTCCTTCTCCAAGTTTATTTCCCACTTCTTTTGCAATTTGTAGGTCACGCTCATGGTACTCGATGGCCTTATGAAAATCGCCTAAGCTACCATAGGCATTGCCTAGATTTCCATGTGCCTCTCCTTCTCCAACTTTGTCTTCCACTTCTTTTGCAATATGTAGATGCAGCTCATGGCACTCCATTGCCATATGAAAATTGCCTAAGCTCTGATAGGCACCGCCAAGATTTCCATATGCCGATCCTTCGCCAGCTTTGTTCCCAGCTTCTTTTGCAATATGTAGATGCAGCTCATGGTACTCCATTGCCATATGAAAATTGCCTAAGCTCTGATAGGCAATGCCAAGATTTCCATATGCCGATCCTTCGCTCCATTTACTTCCCACTTCTTTTGCAATTTGTAGGTTACGCTCATGGTACTTAATTGCCTTATAAACATCGCCTAAGCTCTGATAGGCAATGCCAAGATCTCCATACGCCAATCCTTCTTCGGTTTTATTCCCCAACTCTTTTGCAATTTGTAGTCTACACTCATGGCACTCGATCGCCTTATGAAAATCGCCCAACCTTTGATAAGCCCTACCAAGAGTTCCATAACCACTGCCTTCCTCAGGTTTATCCCTCGCTGCTTTTGAAATTTGAAGACGATGCTCATGATACTCAATTGCCTTATGATAATCGTTTAAGCTTAGATAGGCGTTCCCAAGATTTCCGTAAGCCCGCCTTTCTTTAGCTTTATCCCCCACTTCTTTTGCAATTCGAAGACGATGCTCATGGTACTGGATCGCTTTATGAAAATTGCCTAAGCTCTGATAGACTCTGCCAAGATCTCCATAAGCTAGGTCTTCTCCATCTTTGTCCCTTAATTCTTTTGCAATTTGAAGGCGATGTTTATGGTACTGGATCGCTTTTTGAAAATTGCCTAAGCTCTGATAGGCTTTGCCAAGATTTCCATAAGCTATTCCTTCTCCAGCTTTGTCCCCCACTTCTTCTGCAATTTGTAGATAACGCTCATGGTACTCGATGGCCTTATGAAAATCGCCTAAGCTCTGATATTCGATGCCAAGATGTCCATAAGCCGATCCCTCTCCAGCTTTATACCCCAATTCCTTTGCAGTTTGGAGACGATGCTCATGGTACTCGATGGCCTTATGAAGATCGCTTGAAATTTGAAAAGCAGCTTTGTCGTTGGGTTTTAACGTTTTCGTATCTTGCAAAATGTCACCTACCCTCCAATATGAAAAAGGAAAAGACTGTCATCGTTGGAAGAATATAGAAATAACCTAGCTATCATATACGCGCAAAAAGTACCTTTCTTCATTTGAAAAAAAAGATTCTCCTTTGCATTTAACTGTCCGCTTTTAGTCTTAGTCAAAATATACGTACAATCAAATGTAGATAATGTTTTATTTGACAAATGTCATAAATTAATTGGAAACCTTAGAAATGTTAGAGAGAGGCTCGATAGATTTGCACTTTGTTTGACCCTGGATTAATATTATTGCAAATGCTCTTCCGGTCCTAGCCCACGGCTAATCCCTAAAAAATAAAGAAATAAGATTTTTGGGATCTCCTTTGCTCCAATTTGTCTTAAGGCTAGTTTTCACTAGCTTCGGGGTCGGAGTCTTAGTCGTAATCAGAGTCGTAGATCGAGCGAAAACCGAACATCGGAGTCGTAAGCGGAGTACGGAATCGGAGTCGGAAGAATCAGAATTTCCTTTGATTCCGCTTTGGACTCCGACGCTTATGATCAGTGAACACTCGACCGTTGCAGTTGAAGGCAGAAACGGAAGATCAAACCAGTTTGATTTCAACATGATTGTATTGCTCTGAACTTCTCAATAATGACCCCGACTCCGACTTCGTTCTAAATGGAAACCAGCCTTAGGGTTATGCCTTATTATCGGCCATTGATGTTTCTACATAGAAGATTGATATTGAAGAGAGAAAAAAAAATTAAAATCTCCCGTCACAGTTTGAGGCTCAGTCACGTGAAATGTTTTATTCCCCCCTTGTTCTACATTCCACAGAGCACCGTAACTTAAATAAGAATATCCCAGAACAGGTCTCAGTAGATCCGAGAGCCGTAAATAAGTATAAAAGATGAAAGCAGAAATAGTAAGCGGTCAGGTTATCGTGGACGCACAAGATTGGGATCTATTCAGTTTCCCGGGCTTCCTTGGAATATTGCACGAACCTTAACGCAACTCCTGAACCCATTTACATCAGGAAAATATGTTCAGTTAAACTTTACTTTACCTAATTTGTTGCAGACGTATATACATGTAATGAGGTTAAATATTTGAACTCAAAGTTAATTTCAATTGTGAGGAATAAGTAAGGAACCTTTGCACTGTCCCTTTGCTCTTCCAGATTTTAATTTTTCAGATCCTCTCGCGTACACAACAAAGTTATATCTCAGACTGACTAAAGCTACAATCAATTGTTCTCTTATCTTTCGGACACACCTCGATCAAACGAAAGCTGATTAGCTGTAAGGATCTTTCAGGCAAAAGATAAACAAACTTATTCATCAGAGCAGATACAACGTGACGCTCGATTTCAGGGCCGATATTTCACAGTCATTGCATCAATATTAGTTTAAATCAGTACTAAGTATCCTGTTTACGACACAATTAAAAAATGAGTATTTTCAATGGAAATAAGTTTGAAATTTATAGCCCTCCTATTCCCATTTCTATCAAGTTACCCTCCGCTATTTGGAGGATTATAAAAAAAAGTTTTCAATTATAAACGGCTAAAAGCATTCGTTTACATCTGTGAAAAGAGTTCCTACTTAAATTGTTTGTTGGCAACTTGTTCCTGTCGAGGATAAACCCATAATAAAAGAAATATTTTAAAAAGTTTTGACCGATTCATCCGGCTGGTGGCCATAAGTTTTCTGCACTTCTAGTTTTTTTAAATAACAGACTGTTATTTCGCAAACTAGAGATTTCCATCTCGGAAATTATAGATTTCCACTTCGAAAATTACAGATTTTGAGTTCATTCAAGTACAGATTTCCGTGAATTTCGTTTCGTTTCGTTTCGCAAACCATAGCAAGCCCCCGTTGCGGACGATGACATAAAAACAACTGAGGCAAGACTGCTTGCGGACGCCAAACGAGCGCTCTGGAATGTTAGGAAAGTGGTACGTCCGAGCAATCAAAATTTTTGGTAAATTTCCCTCACTTCGCTTCCAAGAAAAAATGTTTAAAACCTCCAAAAGCACCCGAGTTATTTAGAAAAACGTAATTTCAAATAAAAGTTAAATAAATCAGGAAAGTGTCATAATCTCGTACGTGGGCGAGTCCCGTGGGGGAGTTTTTGTGGCAAACGATGCCTTGTGAATAAGACTCTGCAGCCATTTTGCTCGTGCGAGGGCATCCGATACTCGATAAACTCAATAGAAGAACCCTCAGTCGCTTCCCACCTTACCGGCTCCTGACACTTCCTAAGGGAAAACTCGCTTAAATTATATTATTTATCATAAACTGCATTTATTAAGCTTTCTTCTGATGTATAGTTTGCTAGGATTTTAGAGAAACTAGCTCGCGTACGAATTTTTTTCACGAAGGGACACACGCAGGTGGGAAGCAACCATAAACAAATCAGAGCGACTTTGCTCTTAGTCTGAACTGCGAGAACTCAGAAGTGGCCCATTTTACTTTTCTCAGTCGATTATCATTACAAATAAGTACCAAGTCTTTCAATACTTTTCTATATTCTAGTGGTAACAGAGAAAGATTGCGAAGCTAAAGAAACTTCGTATAAATAAACTTCCCTTAAACCGGGCTTAACCGAATGTAAATCAGAAACAGAGAACTAAAAAACTGAATTTCCGTAGGATTCTATTTGTGCTACATTTAAAGTCGACAAACCTTCATTTAAGCAGCTCCTATGACGAAAAATATTTTAAATATTTTTCTTCATATATTGTTCTTCATATTTTTCTTCTTTCTTCAAACCTTACCCAAGAGCTAAAGATGTTAAAGCTTTGTTGTGAATAGGGTATAAAACTGTTACTGGCTAATGATGCATCACTTTAAGCAAAATGAGGTGAAAGTATCCACCTCAAGATGGCAGACTACACTGCGGTTTTTCAGTTCCGGTTGGACTCTCACTAACAGCTCTGAGACTATGCAATATTTGCGATATCATTAAGCTTCTTGTTTCTCCATCTTCATGTCGTTGTTCTAATTTTACTTTCAAAACAAAGATTTTATTGTAGAAAAAAGCTAATGTTCATATTCAGGGTTTCAAACCTGGAGAGCTTTCTTGTTCACGACCTCGATCTGTCTCGCCTTGAGGAACCTCCATAGCTGATAAAGGAAAACAAAGGAAAATATTATCTTTCTTCCCCGAGCGCTTCAGCGATCAGTTCATTTTCCAAATTTATCAGTTGAACTTCAATTTAAACAAACCACAATACAAAAGAAAAAATCGGAGGTTTCTTTGCACACCTTAATCTCTAATAAGCTTCAATCCTTGATTTCATGCCTTACATAACGATCTTATGCTCAAATTAGAGAATTTAGCTGCGGCTCAATTTGAATAGACGTACGTACAAAAAAGGAAAATTCCCAGCTGAAAGCGACCAGAGCCAGAGGGAATTTCCCCTCATTAAGGGAAAATGAAAATAAAACTCATGACTTGGATTTAACGCAATCAATATTCCAGAGAAAGAAAGAGGGATGCCCTCTCGATTGCAATGATTTAGAAGTTTCCACCCGCCTCCTTTGATTATATCTATCTGTTCCACTTACCTATAGCTCTTGCAGAAAACATTGCGAAATAAAAAACCGAGTTAATTTGTAAACTCTTAATACGAGTCGATGTGACTGTATAAACGGTCAAATCAAATTATGAACGTCTACACAACGCGAAACACACTTACATGCGTTAGACATGATTAACAGCCGACAAATAAAAACGGAAGATTTATGAAGATAAACAACCTAAGGAATTATTACAACCGCTTGATCAACATAACACACCTTGCTTCCTTGAGTTCACGACACGCTTAGTTTGTTATGAAAATGGTTCACATGCAAGCATAGCGAACTCTCGAGCCGAATTTTTCACAAGTACGTCTCTTTCCAAAGGTTTTGACAACAGTTTTAGCGCTCTGCTGTTTCTCATCGAATTTTTTCCCGAAGGACCAAACGAAGGTAAGAAGTAACGATGAGAGCGACTTTGCTCTTAGCATCGTCCTTGTGCCGTAATTTCGGCACCAGATCATTGAACCTCGGAAGTGGCCAACAGGACTTTACTCAGTCCGATTATCATTAGAAATAAATACCAAGTCTTTCAATACCTTTCTGTAGTGGTAACAGAGAAAGTTTGTGTAGCGAAATAAACTTCGTAAAAATAAACTTCCTCTAAACCGGGCTTAACCGAATGTAAATAAGAAAGAGATAACCAAAAAACTGAATATGTGCTACATTTGAGGTCGACAAACATTGGTAAGAGCAGCTCCTGTATGAAGAAATGTTTGACAAAACAGCTTTGAAACATGTTTATGCTTTGTTGTGAATAGGACAAAACCTGTCAATGGTCAGTGATGCATGACAGCAGATTAGCTGGCAGTTTTTTCCGGTAAGGCCCCAGCTAATGGCTTTGAAAGCCATGCAATATTTGCAGCATGATTAAGCTCCTTGTCCCTCCATCTTCATGTTGTTGTACTAATTTTCATTTTAAACAAAATCGAATGTCATGATCAGTATTTACAGTTAACTTGCAAATCAGTGTAGCTCTACTCTAAGCATGAAAGATTTCATTGCAGAAAAGAGCTTATGTTCATATTTAGTGTTTCCAAACCTGAAGAGCTGTCTTGTTCACGATCGTGATCTCTCTTGCCTTGAGGAACCTCCTTAGCTGAAAAAGAACACAAATAAAATATTATTTGTCTTCGCCGAGCGCTTCAGCGATCAGTTCATTTTCCAAATTTATCAGTTGAACTTCGAGTTAAACAAGCCACAATACAAAAGAGAAAATCGGAGGTTTCTTTGCACACTTTAATCTCTAATAAGCTGTATTCCGTGATTTCATGCTTTACATGACAATCTTAAGTTCAAATTAAAGAATTTAGCTGCGGCTCAATTTGAATAGGCGTAAGTATAAAAAGGGAAAATTCCCAGCTGAAAGCGACCGAGGGCAGAGGGAATTTCCCTTCATTAAGTGAAAATGAAAATGAAAGTCATGACTTGAATTTAACACAATCAATATTCCAGAGAAAGAAAGAGGGATGCCCTCTCGATTACAGTGATTTGGATGTTTCCCCCGCGTCCTTTGATTATATCTATTGGTGCCACTTACCTAAAGCTATTACAGAAAACATGGCGAAATATTTTTAAAACCGAGTCAATTTGTAAACTCTTTAATACGAGTCGATGTGACTGTATAAACGGTCAAATCAAATTATGAACGTCTACACAACGCGAAACACACTTACATGCGTTAGACATGATTAACAGCCGACAAGAGAGACAAAAGCGGTAGATTTGTGAAGACAAGCAACCTACGGAAATATTGCAACCGCTTGATTAACATAACAACACCTCGCTTCCTTGAGTTCATGACACGCTTAGTTTATTCTGAAAATGGTTTACATGCCAGCATAGCGAGCTACCGAGCCGATCTTTTCACAAGTACGTCTCTTTCCAAAGATTTTGACAATAGTTCATGCGCTCAGAAGTTTCTCATGGAGATTTCTGACAAAACTAAAGGTAACGACCTCGCGCTCGAATGTTTATCGAACATTCTGAACCCTTACGTTAATCGTCAGACTCGACTAACTTAATCTTGCCTCGCTTTTGGTATTTATTAGAATTACAAACGACTGTATACAAGATGATAGTTATACTGAAGCAGGTTGTTCGGGGCATCTCTGCAATTGGGGGTACTGGCAAACAACGACCGTCATCAAAATATCTTCTATACTACTGCACTTAGTCTTACCTGGAACACAGAAGTATGAATTCAACCAATCCGTTACACGAAGTTCTAAGGAAAATTCACCCACAGCTAAATTTTTTTTCTCTCGACTAAGGCGTAAAACTAAATGATTTTTAGATAACTGTAGAGCACTTTTACAATCGAGAAATTCAACAAGTCGAGAGGCGGAAGACGAATGACCTTCGATTGATCGCTTCCTTTGATTCCTAGAATTTAAATATGTAATCGTGACGTTCGCTTAATTCAAATAATCACATGACTTGACAACGGAATTTAAATTTCCTTACTGTCACGCGACCACTTGTTGAGGTCTTTGCCTTAGTTTACGCGTACATTCCTCTGATCCGTATATTTATTCAGTGGGTAAATTTGATTTGCGTTTGTTCATGATTGTCCGAAGATAAGTTAAATAAGAATAGAGAGAAGCAAAGGACCAGGCAAGTTAAAGTCGATGGTCACGA